GGCACTTAACCAATGAGCCCCATCCCCAGCCCTTTTTTGTATTTTATTTAGAGATAGGGTCTCACTATGTTGCTGAGGACCTTGCTAAATTGCTGAGGCTGGCTTTGAACTCCTGATCCTCCTGCCTCAACCTCCTGAGCCTCTGGGATTATAGGCAGAAGCCACTGCACCTGGCTGTATTGCTTTTTTCTTATCCTCTCTTATCACCTCCCAGTAGACCTCAGCCTCAGACTTCCTGTCATCTTCCCAAGCCATGCCACTCCCAATAACTCTTCCAAGAAATCCTAGTTCTACCCTGGGGGCCTGTGTGGTGGTGTTGGCACTTTTAAAAGGGATGATAGTAGGATGGAACAATATGCCCTACAAGACAGAATCTCTCACTGATGTAACAGGGTGACATTGATGTGACAGGTGCTGGGGGCAGTGTGAGATTTATGGACACAGAGCCCTGCCTTGTACCATAGAAGCAACTATCCACTCAGCCTACTCTCAAGGCCAACCCTGTTATGGATTCATGAAGATAATTCCAATATTGTTCTGCCCAAACCAGAGCATTAGGCTAGGTGGGGTAATGAACTTGTCTGCAATCAAGAGAAAGCCAGTTAAGCAATTCAAGAAAAAGAAGGGGAGTTGTGATTCCCTGCTGTGGGAGCTACCGTGTTTCAAAGATCCCTGTGGAGAGAGTCACAAACTTATCCATCACAAACTTATTATCATCAAATGGTGAGGCATTAGCACTGATAGACTGGAGGTGGTTTACAGAGGATCTGATGAGGAGGTGTCTCGTACTAGTGTCCACTCCTGCATCATGCCTTGCAACACCATGCCACCTCCTGACCACTTCAATCAGCCACCAACTGGCATGTGATCCTGTTTTTTGGAAGTGATGTTTAGACTCCAAAACAAAAAGTACAGAATGAAAGCAAGCTTAGGACACCTCAGACCACCCTAAGCAACACAAAACCTTATTGTGCAGAGCCAGAGGAAAAGATTTATGTGTTTGGAAGCTATTTTTTATTTTTGGAAGTTATTGTCATTGAGAGCTGGCTGTTAAGAGCCAGATCAAAGTGTTTTCTTTTAAAGGCAAACGGCTGGGGATGTTTTCCCTGCAGCTTCTGAAAGACCTTAGATGTGAAGGTCCTCCCTGTTCTGTTCAGACTCTGCTTATCAGCTGTTTGACTTTGGGTGGGTGTTTTAATCACCTGAAACCTACTTTTCCACTTATTTACAAGAAGCTACAAAACTTACAACACAGAGTGAGGATTTAAATAAACTAGAATATGCCAAGTGCTTTGCACAGTGCTTGAAGCAAAGGCACCACTTCAGAGTTTTTAGGTCTTACTGTTATCAGCATTTCATCATTTCATTCTTACCAGAAATATTCTAAAATGTACATGACTGCTGAACTTTCCCTTTCCCATTAGCTAAGTTTGGAATTTATTTCAACTCATCTGTAAAATAAGTGACTAATTATTTATATCTGAATAATACATTTGGAACTTAGCTTTTAGAAATTCTGAATTTAGCTGTGTCTTTATTTATTTATTTTTTTAACCAGGAGTACATGAAAGAGCTTCAGAAGGTCTATGAGTTCCCTAAAATCATACAACATTTTGAGTGGGCATGCATTCCTCCAGAGAAAGAATCCATAGCTTTTATCAAATGTGTCCCTGACTCTCAGCAAGATTTAAAAGAAAAGGATAATCATACAATAAGATTGCCCCAATTACTTGTATGTCAGGTACTTGTAGAGATTAAGCAATCTCACTAGTGGACTTCTCCAGAACAAGATTGAGTTAAGGGGAAACTATTATTAGGAAAGAGTTAATTTCTCCAGACTTAGAAGTGAGATACTTGTGAATATGTTATTGGTAGAAATCAGGTTCATCGCATTCCACAGACCCACAAACACTGAGATAAGCAAGCAAGCAGAAATTTATTAAAAAGGAGATTAAGGTGGGAGTGTAAGAAAGCTCCCACAGAGAACATGGGAGGGGCAAGAGTGCCCCCAGGGTCTCTGACTTGCCTTCTTTTAAAGGCACAGGAGGGGAGGTTGACTGACCCACTTGTAACTGTCCTTGAGATTTTAATTATTGGGTGTACATGTTCAGACTGAATTGTATAGTCACTTTTTTTTTTAATAAGAAGGGAGGCTTTTGTCCCTTTTGGGAAACAGATATTGTTTGGCTTGCTGGAGCACATCAAAAGTGGAGCATAACTCAGATGGTGGTCCTGATATCCGTCCTCCTTATTGACTCTTACTATTTTTCCCTACCTCAAATATATCTTAAAGGATGTCAAAATATTATTTGGTCTTTCCTAATACTCCTGAGTGGTGCTTTGTAAAATAATCTTGATTTGCCCCCTTCAGTGAGGACTGAGCCCTAGTCATTTTAAATTTGTGTATTAAGTGAGTGACTCCCTTCTTGCCTTTCTCATTGCATCTGGATGTTTCCACGTCCATTTCTGTGAGGCTCTTTGGACAGCCTGACACCTTAATACACCTGCTCACAGATCCTCACTTCATCCCCAGCTTTTAATACAATGCTGGAGAATCCTGAATGCTACTTAAATTGGTTCATATCTGTTTTTCATCATTTTTTTCCTTGTGTCATTAGAGATACAAAACAGTTAAGAATATAGATAACTTTCTTAATGGTAGTCAAAGGATGTTTTTAAAAATAAAAAAGGAAAAGAAAATTTCACAGACCCCCATTCTCGAAGGATCTGTCATGTCTCGTGTACAGAAAGCCCATGTTCCCATCAGGGTTAGATTTAAGCTCATGATTTAAATAGGCGAAAGGCTCTTTGTCCTATTACTAATCTTAGAGCCATGCTATGGCCACAGTGCTATCAGAGAAAGGCCAGGGGCAATGCCACAGGTTTAACTTCCTCCTCTAATTATCTGAAGGACTCGGAGGTTGTTTGCCAGTAGTGACTCAGGGCTTGTTTGTTTCAGTGACCATCAAGAGAAGCCATTTGCTGCGGTTGAGTGGGAGTGGGGAGAAAGGGAAGAGTTAAAGGAAAAAGAAAGCAGGCTGGGGGTGTGGCTTAGTGATACAGCCCTTGCCTAGCCCTGGGAAGCTCAAGGTTTGATCCCTAGTACTGCAAAAAGAAAGACATTTCCCCTCAGGAAGCTCATGGTGCAAGTGAGAATACAAAACATAAATATGTGAAGAACTTGCAAAACAAATACAAAATGAGTATAAATCCAATGTTGAGAAAATGTCACACAAAAAGAGATCTTCATAAATAAAGAAGGCTGAGGAGGAAATGGAGAATTCCAGCAAAGCCTTCTATAGGAGGATTGTCTTGAGCCAGGCTTGCGGTAGTGTGGGCCATGGGTGTAGATGCCCAGACACAGAAGTGAGAAAACAAAGCCACACACAGAGTGAGCAATCTAATGCGTTCAGTTGGAAGAATAACTCTGAAAGACATGATCAGTTGTAAGAACATAGCAGAACTTGGATTATGTTTCCATGGTTTTTTATTAACTCATTAATTAATACCTTCACCACACATGTGGAGACCACAAACACAGGATGTTGCTTCTCTAGGCACTGAGGTTGCAGACTAATATGCTCTTATGTAGTTACACTCTAGAGAGAAGATACAGACAAGGAAGCAGTAGTTGATTTAAAAAATAATAAAAATAAAATGCCACTTGGATCTACTTGGCAAAGAGAATCCCTGGGGCTCACACTGGCCTTTGAGCAGATTGAGATATCATGATATCATCTCTTTAATAGTAAAGAGAGACATTCATTCTGCTAATTTGAAGCAAGCTTACTGGAGCACTCTGCCATGGCAGGTGCAGTCCCTGAACATGACCACTATGCTACACCTTCTGTTCCAAGGTGGGAGTAAGGGCATTGGCACTTACTTAGTACACAGTGAACAAGCACATCCACATGATGTTGCTCGGCACAGTCTGTCCAGAGGCCAAGGACCTTGGCTATCAGCTTATTGAGAACTGCCACTGGAGTTTTAGATTATCTAACCTTGAAGAATGAGAAGAGGAAAAGCACACATCATCTGTATTTTGGTAACTGCCTGAACAACATAGTTTTAATTTTCTCCCCTTGAAAAAGGCATATTATCGTGTAAAATTTCTTACAGATAATACATTTTTGGTTTGAAAAGTACTACTAATTAAACGTAATTTCATATTGGTCAATCAAATAGCTACAGAACTATTTTTGTTTGTATACTTACTAAACTTTCTAAATAAGATGATGCAGTTAATCTGATAGTAAAGAGAGACATTCATTCTGCTAATTTGATATTTGGAAGAAATAAGCCAATTAGGAATCATTTAAGTTCTTGCTTATTACACTCAGGGCAGATGGTTCAGTGAGCAGTGGTTTTATAATGAATACCTAGAACTATATAGGGGAATAAATGAGGAATCTACAGGAGGGCTGGCCTCTGGTGTATGGGTAGAGTTAAAATGATCTTTATCTTAACAGTTTGGATGCTCTGAGACCAATGAGACCTTACAGCTGACCTCTGCTGATGTGTAGAGAATGTAAAAAGATCTCTGTACTCTGTTATTACCAATAACCCATTTCTCCTCTGGTTGAGTTAAGCTTCTAATGTGCTGTATAAATTGATTCCAAGCTGGTAATATATGGTAATTTTGGCCCATCAGTTTGCACTGCACAAAATTAGTGTATATTAGAAGCTTGGAAAAAGAGATTCCTTATAAACTCAACTGACATTACTAATAAGAAAGTCAAAAGTTTTATAATATCCAAAGTTAAAAAATGGTTCTCAAAAGGCAGATAATAAACATTTCAACAGTTTGAACATTCTAAATTAATAAAATGGGCCTCATATATATGGATTACAGGTTCACTGCATTTGTGTTTCTTAAGTGGAAAAGGTGAATGTATTTTAGTTTTTCATTTTGAATTAGCTGTTAATTCCACCTGATATTCTGTATCATTTGCTGATAACAAGAATTTTCTTCTTTTATATTTACCTTTTTATATTCAGATATGGATAATAATGACCCTGATGAAGATCATCTTACAAGTTATGATATTCAACTCAGTATTCAAGAATCCATTGAATCCAGCCAGACTGCATTTCATCCTGAAAGGTAGCATTCTATTCAACTATCCTCACCAAAATTTCTTTATGGAATTTATTTTGGTATAAGATAAAATGAATCCCATTTCTCAATTCTTCTTATAGGAAAATACTTACCTTTTTTTCTGGCAGGGAATCTAATACCTCTACAGAGACCAGTATCCAAAACTTTAATAATATCGTCTTCCACAAATCCCCATCTCATGTGGAAAATGAAAATTACCTAGATGGGAATTCCCTAGTTGAATTTGGTTGGATAAGTTTGCCTATTTTCTAAATCAAAATGTAATCAAACAGACAATGGGTAGTTTGAACAAATTTGAAGATACAGTTTATATAACCAGTGTATGGATAAACAGCAATCTGTGTATTCTATAACACACTCTGCTACTGTCTCAACTAAACTTTACAAGTAATCCAATTAAAATATGCACAAAATTGATGTTTTATGTAAGTAGGAGTTTCAGGATTTAAAACTGCATAAGTAAATTTCTGTTTTGAACAACACACATGTTTCTGACACAAAGTTTAGTTTTCCTTTATATTCTATTAATTATATATAGATTCTTGTATTCTGGAACTTAATAGTGCTGTTGAATAGATTCAGTGCTATGAAATTATTGCTTTTGAGATTTTAAAAATTAGCATATTACATTTAAATTTCTGGTCTTTTCAATTTTTCCATTGTGTCTAACAGATTTTAGAACTTGAAAATGCCCCAGAAGCTATTCACAATCCTAGAATGTTAGCAGAATTTCTGCTTAGTAGAGTTAAATAAGTTTGTTATGAAATCCTTGTTTCTATTTAATAAACACACATATCATAGAATTGCCCTGAGGGTTTAAATCATGACCTGTGATGGGACACATGTTAATAAATGCTCTCTGCCTGATTTCACCTATGTATCAGTTGATTAGAGACACTAACAGACATTGTAGACCATATGCTCCTGAATGTCTGTTAGCAATTGTTACGTTCAAGCAATGAACATCGGTTGAACAAAGAACTTCTAAAGGTGGAAGAAGCCTTAGTGATCTTCCTATTTAATCCCACTGTTTCACTGATGAAGAAACCAATACCCAGAGAGACTGTGGACTTTTCCAGGATCATGAAATCAGGCTGTGACTTGAATCCAGCCCTTTTAAGTCTGACTCCCCTTGTTTACTCCCTTTCATAGCTTAGCGCAACCTCAGAGATAACATCACAATCTTGGATTTTGCCATCTTCACTAGTGTTCTTAGGTTTGGATATCATAAATATACTCTATCTAACTCCTAAACATTTACATTTTTGAAGAAAATAAAAATCAGTTTTGTGCATTTCCTGTAGATCTTGATCATTCCAATTACCCACAAGAACTCAATATAAATTAAATATTTTATTCCTTGAAGGATATTACTACTATAAACGTGGCTTCTTTTTCTTTCTCTGGTAGATTTGTCCCCCTCAGTGATCAGAACAGAAAACTTGTGGAGGCCATAAGACAAGGTAATGGGTTTATTGTCTGGAGTGGGTTGTATTGGAAACCTTTTTTGCAAAGACAGAGAAGTGCTAACAGACTACGTGTTTCATTTAGGTCACATTCTTGAGCTCCAGGAGTGTGTGAAGTATAAGCGTGCACTGGACGAAGCCGATGAGAAAGGATGGTTTCCATTGCATGAAGCTGCCGTTCAACCTTTTCAACAAATACTTGAGATTGTTCTGGATGGTAAGAGACTATAACATAGCCTTTTGACAAGTAGAGCAGAAATGTAGAAGTTATCATTGTTCCTAAAGAACATAAAGAGTAAGAGATAGTTTGGGATATGAGAAAGTCACTACCCATATATTAACTCCTGGAGTACCAAAAAATTAGCATATTTCATGATGCTTGAGGTTCACCCTTGCCATCCTTTTATCTTTTTAAAAAGTGGCATAGTTTGGTGGGAAGGTGTTGTCATTGGCTATGAGAGATAAAGGGTTTTATATATAATGAATTAATTGACTCAAATATAAAGCTTTTTTCTTTTGGAAGTTGGTTTTTAATTTTTCATCTTGAACTATCAAAAGTTTCAAGAGATTATTATTATATATTGCAATGTTAATAATAATTTTTATGTCCTAATGGTATTTTTTCATATTTCAGCATTTATAGACCATTGTTAGAATCCCTTATGTTTTAACTTTCAATGCTGCTTGCTAATTTGGAAAATTATGAGAAATACTTGATAATTGGCTTGCTAGCAAGCCATCTAGAAAACGAGATAACTAGACAGATAGAAATGATGTTAAGGGGTTGGGATTGTGGCTCAGTGGTAGAGCATTTGCCTCACACATGTGAGGCACTGGGTTCGATCCTCAGCACCACATAAAGATAAATAAATAAAATAAAGGTATTGGGTCCATCTATAACTAAAGAAAAAAAAATGATGTTAAGGATAATATTTCTTTTCTAACACATTCTGAAAAAATGATACATTCATTCAAATATATTTTCATTCCTACATTTACACACCTCATTTGACCAAAAGAAAATTCAGATGCAATTTAAATAATAAAATGAAGGATTGGAGAGTTGCTTTACAATGTTTTAAGAAATGAGAATTTGCAACCAGCTTTTTTTTTTTTTAAAGCAGCTTGAAACATAGATGTTGGTTTTCTAGCTGTTGATTTGATTAGCAGGTCCAGGAGCATCTAATTTTCTTCACCTTTGTTAGGTTGATTTTTATCATACTTTCAATCTTCCCTTTCTCATCAATTGACTTTTCAATCTGGTATACATAACAATCTGGTTATTCTGAACTATGCAGTATCCCTTAAGTAAATATTTTCAATTTTTAATACAATGCTTTCATATCTTAGCATCCTACAAGACACTCTGGGAATTCAAGACCTGTAATGGAGAAACACCCTTGACTTTGGCAATCAAAGCTGGTCTGGTGGAAAATGTAAGGACTTTACTTGAAAAGGGAGTATGGCCCAACACCAAAAATGATAAAGGAGAGACGCCCCTTCTGATTGGTAAATGACTTTTTTTTTCCTAGAACTTTCATAGTTTGAAACAAATAATAAATATTTAATAAGTAATTTTTGGAAATCAATATGCTTTATCAAAAATTATATTACTCCAATTCTTTCCATTTCCTGAGCCTCCTCCTCTGATCCTCATTTCACCTGCCAGACAATTTTATTTTCCCATCCCACTATGTGTTGGTCAGCTTTCTGTTGCTGAGACCAAAATACCTGATAAGAATAACTTAGAGGAGGAAAAGTTTGTTTTAGCTCATGAATTCAGAGGTTCAGCCCATGGCTGGCCAACTCCATTGCTCTGGGCCTAAGGTAGAGCAGACCATCTTGGCACAGGGTGTGGTGGAGGGAAACTATTCAGCTCCTTATAGCTATGAAGGTGGGGTAGGGGCACGCAGGACAAGATTTAATCCTCAAGGATATACCTCTGGAGACCTACTCCTTCCAGCCATGCCCCCTCTACCTATAGTTACAACCCAGCACTATAGTCCTTTCAAACTACTAATCCATCAAGTGGATTAACCCAGTGATTAGGTTATAGCTGTCATAATCTGATTGTTCCACTTCCTATATTAACACAGGAGCTGTTAGGGGTAACTCATATTCAAACCATAACACACAGTGAGGTCAGATGTAAAGGATGACTACATTCTTCAGCATCTAAAAATGAGTGCCACTAACCAAGAAGAGCAGAACTAGTTTAATGAAGCCAGAGGTGTCAAGCCTAAAAGAAAACTCTGTAGGTAGGATCTAGTTGTAAGGGGGGTTCTATGGGGAAAATGTAGACAGAAGAAAGAGAAGATAACAAAAAGAGGGACATCAGATCCATATCAAAATGATCAGTCTAGTCAGGCGTGGTATCACACACCCCTAATCCCAGCAGCTCAGGAGGCTGAGGCAGGAGGATCATAAGTTCAAGGCCAGCCTTGGCAATTTAGCAAGACTGTAATCAAGAGACCTGTCTCAAACTAAAGAAATAAATAAACAGGGGCTGGGGACGTACCTCAGTGGCAAAGCACCCCTGGATTCAATTCAAGTGCAAAAAAGAATGATTAGACAAAACGGAACAAGTACAGAGTTTGGCACTTATGAGGGGATTCCCAACATTCACACAACACAGAAAGATGGCTTATCTGGAGTGTCATTTATTAGCTTCTTCTCAGCCTTGTGCATCCTGCTTTTTGTTGAACATTAGGAATTGGCAGGTCTATTGATGGAAGCAGAAAGAGGTGAAATTAACTAGAAATGACCAAAGATAACTTTTTTTTTTCCTTTTAGAGACTGTAGGAGGATGGATTGAGACTTTGGGTTTTGGGAGTTGACACAGTCAGGTTTATACCATTAAATGAGACTGTGACCATGGGCCTCAATGTCTTAATATGCAAAATGGAAATACCACAGGCACCATGCAGTATTCTTATAAAAATTAGAGAATATATATACAAACCCCTCACATGTAATAGATTCTCAAGAGAAGAAAGCCATTATGAAATTGTCCATGTGTGGTGGGAGGAGAAGCAGGAGGAGTAACACTCTAAGGTTATTTACAGCAACCTGGGAGGAGAGAATTAAACAACTCAAGCCGCATACAGAGCTAGCTGCAGCTCCTTCTCAGAGCACATCATCACATTTTGGGGGGGGGGGGGGGGGGGGGACACTTCAGTATTGTTGGTTAAAAAAACTTAGAAAATCCATAACACTAATGGAATATTTTCACTTGATGGCATGGATTCACCAACATCAGTACAACAAAATGTATGGAGAAATGTGAAGCCAGGTGCTGGGCTGAGTGGCCTGGATATTAAAATGAGTAAACTTGATCTTCTTCCTCCCAGAGTCTAGTTCAGCTAGATATGATTTAAATGAAAAAATCATGTTGCTAATGCTATAATACAGGTATATATTCAAAGTAAATTTGGAGAATAAAAAAGCAGTGAGTCTAAAAATACTCCAAAGAGCCTAAACTCTTTTGAATTGATTCTTGAGGGACATAGAACTCTCAAAGGAGAATGTCACCACAGCATGAAGTCACTCTGATCTGTTTTACTTTCACTGACGCTTGCCCTAGGTCAAAGCTTTCAGCCTTCCCAAATTCAGATTATTTATCAAGCTATCTAATTATGATAGTTATGGTATGGGCAAAGCTTCTGTCACAAAAAAACAAAAACAGACACACAAGGAAAGCAAGCAAACAAAAGTGACTTAAAAATAAGTTTTTTCTCATGTCACATTTCAGAGGTTCAGCTTTTGTCGCATAGGCACACCAAGGTGTAAGAGAGGCTAGGATGTTTTGTCTCTATATGGATGACTTGTGACCTGCTAACACTTGGGGCTTTTATTGCTAAAAAGAAAAGGACAACCATGATATATGAGGAACAAATAGTAGACCCTGAGCACATGTTTGTCAACCTCTGTCACAATATCATGGTGCTTTTCATAAATACACCAGAATTCTTTCCTGAGCAGGTTCTATAAACAGTAGATGAAATATCCACCTGTAAATTTGCTTCACAAGTATTAACGTGATATGTATTATTTTTTAAAGGCCAGCATATACCATAGAGTATTTGCAGTAACATTCAAGAACATATTGTTGTTTCTATAGATAGCCTTTGATTTCTGGGGGTTGGGGGAGATACATTTTTCAGAATTACACATATTGCTTCACTTTGCAAATACAGAATTATTCTCCACTTGGTATTGACAATCCAGTTATTTTTTTTAAAGAACACCTAATTTGTGGCTCTCACTCATTTATTTTGCTTTTGCTTCATCTAAGTTGTCTTTAGTGCTTAATGACTACAACATAGCATTAGGCATTTATATACATTTCGAATGTTGCTTTAATTCTCTAGCCATATATAAAGTGTGGGAAAGATATCTTATCACTGAATTGTCAGAATGAAAATAAAATTAACATTTGGAAATAAAATTTTAAAGTTGTCAAAGAGAGGACAAAACTATCCATAGAGGAAATGGAGAAACATTCCAGATGTTGTGTTCACGTGCGTCTCCATCATGCACACATCTGGAGAAAAGGACTTTTCTTGGTTGCCTTCTCCAGGACTTTTTTGCTGTGTAGCCATGTCAAGTCTTTTAGGTTCTGTAGGAAAATGGATCATTCATGTCACTTCCTCAGTTTTCTTCTTGAATCTATGAGCTGCTTTGAAATTTTCTATTCAAAGTCCATTAACTTGCAGAGAATATATAAGAGGTCATAAGTATTGTTCCTTTTTTTCTGTATAATTCCGTTTTTTACATACTCTTAGCCTCATGCCATCATTTTTGTCTCTATTTATAGAATATTGGTAGAGAGCAAAAAAATAAAAATAGTTACTTTTGGTCCCTCCAGGTCCTTTCTTCCCTGTCAGCCTTTGATGTATCGCAGTCATGTTACACAGTTGCTTGCTGAGTAGTATATATTTGATTTGTGATGATCTGACACTTATCGAGGTTTGTTTTTTCTCTTGGATTCCCTTTCTGCCCATACCCTAGGATTTGGTGTCACCTTTCCTCAGTTGGATAGGCACAAGCTTACCCTGGCCTGTGGAGCCCAGAATAGGGAGGAAGCTCAGGTAACTGTTTGGCACTGTGTCTTAGGTGCACCATCTTCTGTTCCCCGTTACTTTCCACCATTTATATGTCAGTTCATTCCACTGTTGATAGTTTCTTTCTCTCAAATCATCCTCTCCTCTTTCAATCTTCCAGCCTTTGTCTAGATCCCTCAGAAAAGTCTCTCTTCTCTGTATGTTTTATGAGTCAGAAAATCACTTGTAGCTGATAACTAAATGATATGAGCAAAACACAAATATCCAAGGGAAAAGAAGAAAATGATAAATTTAAAATAAAAAGGAAAACAAAAATAAACAAACAAAAAAAACCCAGATGTTCAAAAGTGCCTATAATGGGTGCAAAATTTTTCATCTAAGTCTTGAAATTCTTCAACTTAAGTTAGGTTTTCTTTAAGCATTTACTTATTACTTATTACAGATTAAAATGTGAAAATTAGTTTAAATTTTTTCTGAAGATATCCTAAAGAGTACTAAAGAATCTTACGTTTTAGAATTTTAAATTCTAAAGAATTAAAAATATATAATGTATACATATGAAACTAGAAGTTTTTAAATTCTTGTTTTACTTAATCTGCTATGTTACACCAATACTGTGCCCTGTGAGTTTTTCTTTTTTTTCTTTCAGTTATTTACTGGCTAAAAATGTCTTGGTGAGTTAGTTTGGGAGTGTTTTCCTGCTATTTGTACTGTTATTTCTGTGGAAAATATATTCGTAGATCCAAAAAATTAAATTGGAAATGAAGTTCTGACTTTTGAGAAATTATTTTAAGTTGAATACAGCCAGGTATGCTGTGATTTTCATGGAGAAAGGCTAATCACTAATCAATATACACTCCAAGTGAAACAAGAGCAAAACAAAGCATGAGGGAAGAGGTCGATTATTTAATACTTTTTTTCCAGTTACAAAAAAACTGCAACAGAAGCAACAAGATAAATGAGGACATACTCCTCATAGTTGGGTTAGCTTTCTTGGTGCCTGCCCTGCAATACCATCAGCCAGGGTGAGGTAATTCACCAGAATTAGAGCTGCCAGAGGCAGATGGGCAGTTCAGAGAGAGCCATTTGTCAACAGTTCTACTTTGGACATTGAAAGGAGGAAAATGAGAACCTGCCTCTAAAGGAAGTAGGCATAGTCTTGTCCTCTGGTTAGGCAGTTTGGAGCCATTTCCCTCCCTTTGACTTTAGATCCGTTCTACATTCTGCCTCCTTCCTGCCCAGAATGTTCTATGCGGCCTCACAGCTCCTCCTGCCTTTTCCAACAAAGGTCCAGGCTTTGAATGTCTCTTCAAATAGAAAACAGCTGAAGCTTCTCCTCTAGACAGTCCCCTTGTGACTCACCCAGAGCCTTCCACACAACTAGCATGAACTGAATGAATGAATGATGAATAGGAGTGAATGTATCTGACTAGTTTATTACCAAGGTTTTATTTTTTTTAAATTTTTTATTGTTGGTTGTTCAAAACATTACAAATTTCTTGACATATCATATTCCACACTTTGATTCAAGTGGGTTATGAACTCCCACCTTCACCCCATACACAGATTGCAGAATCACATCAGTTACACATCCATTGATTTACATATTGCCATACTAGTGTCTGTTGTGCTCCGCTGCCTTTCCCATCCTCCACCATCCCCCCTCCCCACCTCTCCCCTCCCCTACCAAGGTTTTATCTAATGACAAGAAAAAAAAAAGCGTGACATATTTCAGTATTGTTTCCATAAAATAGAGAATGTCTTAATAATCCAAGGAAGGGAGAAAAAAATTCTTTTAACGGTGTATTTTCAAATATTAGAGGCAAACAAGAGGGCGGAGACATCTGATTTAGTGACCCTCTTAGAATTGTGCTTCATTAACTGTCACATACTTCCATTTAGAACAACAGACCTACTTAGGTTTTTTACAGCACTATTATTAACCTCCATTGAAAGTACAGGGATGAGCTGAGTACAGCTGTGCACACCTGTAATCCCAGTGGCTTGGGAGGCTGAGGCAGGAAGATCACAAGTTCAAAGCCAGCCTCAGCAACTTAGCGAGACCCTAAGCAATTTAGCAAGACCCTTTCTCAAATTAAAAAAAAGGGCTGGGGATGTGGCTCAGTGGTTAAGCACCTCTTGATTCAATTCCTGGTACTAAAAAAAAAGAAAAGAAAAGAAAGTAATAGGTGTAGTGAAAAATTGTCTTTGCATGGGAAAAAAGAAAATCTGTGTCTATGGAGGAAACTTGATACATACCATCTACTTATGCAGCTCTAGGGTCCCAAGGTTATAAAACAATACTGACACTAATTTACTAAGATCCTATTATATACTGGGTACTATACTAAGCATTTCAAATATGTAATTTATAGAATTCAACAATAGATGTTATTTGAAGTTTGAAAGAATGCACATGACATCCTATCCTGGTGACATGCATTTCCCATGAAACTCCTACCCTCCTGTGAGTCTTAAAGAAAAAAAAAATTGTCATCTTGCAAACTCTAGAATTAGAAATATGGGTATGAGAAATACAATATCCCCTAGTAGCATAAAAAGGAAAAGCTAATATCTATGTAATATTAAACTTGATAATTAGTTTAATACCACATCAAGTATCCATGTTAATATGCTTACTCTTGGATGTTCTTTTTAAAATGATTCTCAAGCTGTAAAACAGGGCTCCTACAACATGGTGTCTACTCTGATAAAACACAACACCAACCTTGATCAGCCCTGTGTCAAGCGATGGTCAGCAATGCACGAAGCAGCCAAGCAAGGCCGGAAAGATATCATAGCTTTGCTACTAAGCCACGGAGGCAATGTCCACCTGAGAGATGGATTTGGAGTCACACCATTAGGTGTGGCCGCTGAATATGGTCACTGTGATGTGTTAGAACATCTAATCCACAAAGGTATGTAAAGGGAATTGTTCTTTACTGGCTTTTGTCCTGGCTCTCTGACTCTCCTACAGTTCTCGGGAGTTTCTCTCACCCCCCTTGAATGTCACTGGGCGTGAGGCTTTCAGACCTACCCCTCATTCCACAACACATTGTGACCTACAGATCTACAAAGCCAGCCCTGATTGCTTTCTATAGAGAGCTCGATTTTCACATAGATGACTCATCAGGGTCTCACCCTCCCCTTCTCCTACACTGAAATCCTCTTCTTCTCCTGCTTCTTGATACAATAACTTATTTCAACCAGGACTGAAAGTTTGAGTCTATCTCTCCATCTGTCAGGCCCCTCACATCTTTCTTGGACCACGGCAATCATTTCTCCACCATTCTCCAGTGTTCCCATCTCCACAAGACAGAAGCTATGCTACATACTGCAACTTGGTTCCTCTCCAAAAGGACAGCAGTCACAGTGTGAACTATTCAGAAAATCTACTGCATCAACTTGAGTGGTTTTTCCAAGCTTATGCTTCACTATTCCCATCTTGTATTCCATGTTCCAACCAAAACAGACTAGCAGTATTCCCTGTGCTGGGGTTTGGATCAGGTTTTTGCCCTCCTCTGGAATGCTCTCCAACACCATCAAAGTCTGTCTTTGAAGACACCTCCTCCCTAAATCTTCTCCCCAACAGGTTGTGATCTTGTTCCTGCTTTAAACCTTCAAAGTGCTTTTTGTAACTAAAGAGCCAGGAGTTAAGAAACTTAATTCCTAAACTGGTTTCTGCCAACTACTCCTTGTGAGACCCTTGCCTACTTGCTTAAATGACTGGTCCTCAGTTTCCTCATTGGTAAATGAAGGCAAGAACCACATGATCCCCAAGGGATCCTCTATCGAAAAATAACAAACATATTTTTGTCTCCCAACATAATGTCATTTAATTATCAGAAAATCCCTATAAAATAAACTGTATTACTCCAATTACAGATGCAGAGGGGTAGGTGCAAAGAAGTTTTCCTGACTTTCAAAGTCAGCATCAGAGCCAGGTTCAAACACCATCCTGTTGCCCTTACAGTATGTTTCCCAGTGCTGGTGGAGCTCATATGTCACATTGTTTATGTGCCCTGATGACATCTTAAGGTAGTCAGAGTTATTCATTCTAGGCTCACCTACAGTACTTCAATAGAAAGGGTAGTCAATAAATGTTGGTTGAATTGAAGTAGAGAGTGTTAACTGGTGTCATTACATTCAAAAGCCTCATGTTCCCTTTATCTGTAATCATTTGTCCATTGTGGAAATTGACTGGTTTCTCTGACAGTCTTTGTGACCCAAAGATTTTCTAATAAAACACAAGCATGTTGCATTACTCTTTATTGAGAATATTGAGAACACAGATGCTATACTTTTTATTTAAGTACTAACCAGAGGGGGAAAAAAGTCTTTTTTAAAGGGGTCTATCAACAATACCATCTAGTCACCTGCTACAATGTGCTTTATACTGCCAGGTGGGGATGTGTTTGCTTTGGCGGATGATGGGGCATCAGTGTTGTTTGAGGCTGCCGGGGGCGGTAATCCTGACTGCATTGCTCTCCTGCTGGAGTATGGAGGAAGTGGAAATGTGCCCAACAGAGCAGGGCATCTCCCTATACACCGAGCTGCCTACGAGGGACATTATCTGTAAGTGATACCTTATGGGGTGGTTATTTTAAGTTGAAAATACAAAATTATGAATACAGAATAATCACAAGTCTCTTTATACACAATACTCCCCCAAATTCAAAAAGAAGTAGGTAATGTTTGCAAGTTTTTTAATTAAATGTTTGTAACTTGTTGGGCTTTTCACCTTTTTATAGTTTTCTAATTCACAAAATGAATTTATACTACCTTAATAGTAAAAAGAATGCCCTTTCATTCTTTTTTTAGAAGGAATTAAATTATAGTTGAGAATTCTGTGCAAGTTACCCAAGAGTACTTTTCTGTTTTTTTTTTTTTAAGTGTTTAACTAAAGGCCATGGAATTTCTAAAAACTTTGCTCTTGGCAAAGGATTAGAATTTGTTAACAATACTCCGTTATTCAATGATTTTCCAGCATCTCCAGGATATTATAGTAACATTATAGTAAATGTATTCTAGAATAGAAAAGTTTCATTTTTAGATATTTTCCATACAAATGGTTGAATACATTTTGAAACCACAAAATGTGCTAAAATCAACACACCAATAGAAGTTTAGAATCACTATTTTGAACTACCCACCATGAGAAGATGGTTTTAAGCAATTAAATGTAGTTTATAAAACATGTAACCCAAAGATTTTCTAATAAAACAAAACATTTTGAGATTTATCATTTTAGTCTTTATCATTTTTGGTGGCTACAGTGGCTAAGTTAAAGGGCCAATGACGCACCATTGATGCTAAGTGACATGTTGTTAAAGTTTACCTGGATTTACTCCCAGTGTTCATAAATTCACACATGGTAGCTCTGAATTAGGCACAAGAGATCAAGTTATCCTTGCTTGTGGCTCTCTTGCATATCTAAATGGTTAGTCAAGTGTGAAATTCACAACTATTTATCACATGTCCTTAGAAACATAAGCTGTGGTCAGTGATTTCAATTGGACTGGTATAAATTTGATGGAATTTTTAAAGACTTTTTTTTTTTTTTACTAATAATTCAACAGCAAGTTGTATGGAAGGAGAAGTACCATAGCTAACATTAAAGAAGATTGCCTAAAACAAGTGAGAGAGGAATAATTTATGAGAATTCAAAATGTCAAATCTCTAGTCCTTTCTTTATGTATAACTGTGTGACCTTGGACAAGTCATTTTCCCTCTGGAGATTTCATATTGTCCTTCTGTAAAGGAAAGGGGCTATATTAAATCATGTCCAGGGTCACTTCCGGCTCACTTCCAATGACTCCATGATTCTAATTGTCAAGATTATGAAGAGTTCTTCTATGTCATGACAAGGGTTTACTTTCTTTTATATTTTCTATAAGATTAGCATTGGTTGCTTATAAAAGAATTATATTGTTTAGAAAAGAAAAGGAGTGTGGAGAGGAGTCCTGAGGAATCATATCTAGGGCCAAATATAAGAAATATAAGATGTTGGATGTTCCCCAGGAATATTTAGAGAAGAAAAATAAATCAAAGTTTACTAAATTACATTAAATACTAGTAGCTTAATGTACAAAAGTTAAACATTGCAATGTAAGGTTATCTAGAGAAAGTAAGGAAAACCAAATGAACTATATTTACATGTATAGTAAAGAAGGGGGTTTATTCAATTTCTTGATTTTCTTAATGTCATGGGATATTTGGTGGTTGTTGTTGTTTGTTTTAGTGCACTGAAATATCTTATCCCAATAACATCCAAAAATGCAATTCGGAAAAGTGGGCTAACTCCCATTCACTCAGCAGCCGATGGACAGAATACCCAGTGCCTGGAACTACTCATTGAAAATGATTTCGATGTCAACGCTCTTCTTGCTGACCACATTTCCCAGAACTATGAGGATGACAGGAAGACTGCGCTCTATTTTGCTGTCTCTAATAATGACATCCATTGTACAGAAGTCCTTCTGGCTGCAGGTGCAGACCCAAACCTAGATCCCCTCAACTGTCTACTTGTGGCAGTGAGGGCCAATAATCATGAGATTGTCCGACTGCTTCTCTCCCATGGGGCTAATGTCAATTGTTACTTTATGCACGTGAATGACACCCGTTTCCCCAGTGCCATTCAGTATGCCCTAAATGATGAGGTCATGATGAGGCTGTTGCTGAACAATGGCTATCAAGTGGAGATGTGCTTTGACTGCATGCATGGTGACATCTTTGGAAATTCATTCGTGTGGTCAGAAATAGAGGAAGAAGTACTGCCAGGATGGACGTCTTGTGTAATTAAAGATAATCCGGTGAGTTGCATCTTCTTCTTCTTCATATGGGGCCATCATCTTAACTCTTATAGTAGTCTAATAAATGTTTTAATTTTTAATATTAATTTTATTTTTTTATTGATTGTTCAAAACATTACAAAGCTCTTGACATATCATATTTCATACATTAGATTCAAGTGGGTTATGAACTCCCATTTTTACCCCAAATACAGATTGCAGAATCACATCGGTTACACATCCACATTTTTACATAATGCCATATTAGTAACTGTTGTATTCTGCTACCTTTCCTATCCTCTACTATCCCCCCTCCTCTCCCCTCCCATCTTCTCTCTCTATCCCATCTACTGTAATTCATTTCTCTCCTTGTTTTTTTTTCCCATTCCCCTCACAACCTCTTATATGTAATTTTGTATAACAATGAGGGTCTCCTTCCATTTCCATGCAATTTCCCTTTCCTCTCCCTTTCCCTCCCACCTCATGTCTCTGTTTAATGTTAATCTTTTCCTCCTGCTCTTCCTCCCTGCTCTGTTCTTAGTTGCTCTCATTATATCAAAGAAGACATTTGGCATTTGTTTTTTAGGGTTTGGCTAGCTTCACTTAGCATAATCTGCTCTAATGCCATCCATTTCCCTGCAAATTCCATGATTTTGTCATTTTTTAGTGCTGCGTAACACTCCATTGTGTATAAATGCCACATTTTTTTTGTCCATTCATCTATTGAAGGGCATCTGGGTTGGTTCCACAGTCTAGCTATTGTGAATTGTGCTGCTATGAACATCGATGTAGCAGTATCCCTATAGTACGCTCTTTTAAGGTCTTCAGGGAATAGTCCGAGAAGGGCAATAGCTGGGTCAAATGGTGGTTCCATTCCCAGCTTTCCCAGGAATCTCCATACTGCTTTCCAAATTGGCCATACCAATTTGCAGTCCCACCAGCAATGTACAAGAGTACCCTTTTCCCCACATCCTCGCCAGCACTTGTTGTTGTTTGACTTCATAATGGCTGCCAATCTTACTGGAGTGAGATGGTATCTTAGGGTGGTTTTGATTTGATTTGCATAACAAGAATCAACGAATGGGACTTACTTAAACTGAAAAGTTTTTTCTCAGCAAAAGAAACAATAAGAGAGGTAAACAGGGAGCCTACATCCTGGGAACAAATCTTTACTCCTCACACTTCAGATAGAGCCCTAATATCCAGAGTATACAAAGAACTCAAAAAATTAAACAATAAGATAACAAATAACCGAATTAACAAATGGGCCAAGGACCTGAACAGACACTTCTCAGAGGAGGACATACAATCAATCAACAAGTTCATGAAAAAATGCTCACCATCTCTAATATTAATTTTATTTTTTTCCTTTTGATTGCTTCATCATCCATTGCTACTCAGGAGTATGCTTTTTAACTTCCATATGTTAGCTAAAGTTTCTGAATTTCCTCCAGTTGTTGATTTCTAGTTTTAGATCATCATGGTCAGAAAACATATTTGAAATGATTTTGATCTTAAATTTTTAATCTGTTTTTTTGGCCTACCATATGATCTCTCCTGGAGGAGGCTTCTTGTACTACTAAGAAAAAACGTGTTTCCTGTAGCCTAACTCAAACTTTCACTTGTTTAGGAGTATTATAAGAAAAGAAAAATCAGCTCTAATTTTTATGTATTTCTTATTCTTGATTTTTTTATTTGCAATGATATAGGGTTACAAGCATACATTTAGCCAAGAAAATGTTATTTCTTTTTCTTCAATTGGAACAGGATATAAAGAAGATGAAATATGTGCAAATAATTATTTATGCTTATTTGGTGGAATATTGGGGCTAAATGGATAAAAGCATGATTCTTCTATGCTGTATTGACTAGAATCATGTCAGAACCATGTCTATATGTCTTAAAGACTATTAGTTCAAAAAACAAGCAATTTTTCACCTTTGTTCATTCCAAGGAGGGATGTTTTCTTTTCTAGAAAAGGACAAAGACGTAACTTTTCATAACAAATTAAGTGTTTATGTATATGTTTACATATGAGCATATTAAAAGTACTGCTAAATTAAATTTAATCAATTTTCTCAGTTCTGTGAGTTTATTACAGTTCCATGGATGAAACACCTGGTAGGCAGCATTATTCGTATATTGATAGATTACATGGATTATGTTCCTCTGTGTGCTAAACTGAAGTCTGCATTAGAAGTACAGAGAGAATGGCCAGAAATCCGCCAAATACTAGGTAAAAAATAAAATTCTCCTACAATTATTTTTATTAAAAATGTGTATAATGTCTCTGATATTTTTCAGTGTTTATTCAGAATTATCTAAGATATTTTTAAATCATCCTTAACACTTCCTCGGTTTGGAGTTACAAATTTTATGTTTTCTTAATATTTCCAACTCTTTAATTGTACAATGAATAATATTATATTCTGGCTAGAACTCATTTTTGGAAAATTACCTTCTATAATGTATAATACATAGACTTCATTCTCCATGAGGACAGGGATCTCCTTGTTTCTTTTTGTATTCTCAACATTTAGCATAGTGCCTAGAGAGTAGTTAATACTTAGTATATAATTATACAGTAAATGAAGAAATGGAAGGGATTAGAATTATTTTTTGACATACTGTCTCTTAGGTCTTTATTGACAAAATCCTAGTATCAAAAGTTTGTGTTATAGGCAGGGTATGCTTATAATCACACTACGTATGGCAGCAAACCCCTGTAATCCCAGCTAGTTGGGAGGCTGAGGCAGGAGAATCAGGAGTTCAAGGTCAGTCTGGGCAATTTAAGGAGACCCTATCTCAAAAAAAAAAAAGAGGAGCTCAGTAGTAAAGCACATCTGGGTTCAAAACCCAATACAGAAAAAAAAAAATGTGCTTTCAAGGAAAGTACACTTACAGTTTAAATGACTCCAAATACAAATAGAAACTAGGAAAAAAAATCATAGATTGGAGAATTTCTCTTTCAAACTATGACTTTGAGAAAATGAACTCTCAAAACTTACTTGAACATTAATTCCATGGAGCTTAAAAAAGTAGCATTGAACATTTCATGACATTTTAAATAATCTGGCACTCTTGATGTATCTAAATCAGTCTTCTCCTGGAATGAGTTCTATAATAGAAGAGATTTTGTGGCAAATAAAACAGAAATCTTAGTCTGATGAATGATGTAGTTTTGTGAGCCTAGACTCTGAAGTCAGACTGGATGGGGTGGAATTCAAGCCATGCCTAGGTCTGGGGATGCTGGGTTATGTTGTATAGATGTGATTGGGGCTGATAGCTTCATGGAAACAAGCAATAATTTATTGTATCAATTTTGTTTTTTATAAAAATTTCCAAGATAATGATAGCAGCTTTATGACTTTGAACAAGTTACTTACATTTTTTATGCCTATGTTTTTCCATTGCAAAATGGAGCTAAGTTAATATTTACCTCAAAAGTCTGTCTTGGGGGCTGGGATTGTGGCTCAGCGATAGAGTGCTTGTCTTGCATGTGTGAGGCCTGGTTTCGATCCTCAGCGCCACATAAAAATAAATTAATGAAATAAAGGTATAAAAAAATGTTTGTTTGTTTTTTTGTTTTTTTTTTTTAAAAAGTCTGTCTTGGGGATTTAAAGAAATACGTGTGGGATTGAGGGTGTGGCTCAGTGGAAAGCACTTGCATAGCATGCACTAGACTTTGTATTTGATCAAAGCACCAAAAGCAGAGAGAGGGAATGAGAGAAAGAGGCAGGATGCATGTAAAGTGTCTAACTGGTATCTATAATATTAAAAATATTGAATACATTTTGCTATTTTGTGTTATTTTTATTACACGGTAAGTTTATGGAAAGTATCTGAAATGTATATGCAAACTATGTCATGAAATATTATAAGGAATAATATGCTTATTTTTACAAATTAAAAACTAAGCTGAGGATATTGCTCAGTTGGTAGGGTGCTTGCCTCACATGCACAAGGCCCTGGGTTCTAATCCCCAGCACCACAAAATAATAATAATAATAATGATAATAATAATAATAATAATAATAATAATAAAGCTAAGTCTGAGAGAATTACAAAACAGCCTAGATCCTGTGGATTTTGAAACTAACCTCTCAGAGCTCCCTTCCTGGACTGAAGCCCGCATTAGAAGTAGTGAAAATCAAGCAGGACAGGGACCAGAGACAGTTCACATAAAAATGGGTGGCAAACAGGATAAGGAGCCCTCAGGGAACAAGCCACCAGTTTTTGGATATGGTAACAAAGAAACTGTTAACAGAGCAGGAACCTCTGCAAAACTGGAAGAGTTATCTTGAACCCCCACTCCAAAATAAACAAACAAAAAAAAGTTAAAGAAACTGTGGTGGAGAAATGGGTGATTCCAGATCCGGGGAAGGAAATGTGCAAGATGAACCTGGAACACCCACCTGGTCACATCAATAGCAGTGAACCCCTCAAAGACTACAAGAACCACACCAAAAGAATTCAGGACCCCGGTCATGATGGTGTCATGACCCCAAAGGAGATCATTATTTTGATGAGAAGAAACATACCCAGTCTTAAATAAATGATATTTTAAAACTGGTCAGTTCCAAAGGATGATAGAGAATCGATTTGTTATCTTGGAAATTGATGAAAGAAAGGATTTAAACTATTCTATCTAATTTATATAATTCATGCCACTCTAACCAGAATATGAGAGCAAGAATTTTCCTTTATAAAAGTATTTCAAATAATTAATGGAAAGGAAATTATATAAATAAATGTCATCCTTCTGTAGTCCCCAGTGAACTAATGGATGTGGTCATTGAGTATTAACTGCTGTTCGTGTCACATTATATCCTGAATGGAAGAATACAGTTCTGCTAAAGAGATAAAATTTGAGTCTAATCAAGAAATAGAGAAGACAGTGGGCCCTGAGTTGCAAGTACTATCACATGCCGTCCGCAAAACTCGGGCTGTGGGACAGGTCATTGGGGTCTTCAAAGGTTAACTGAAGGGAATGCAGAGCCACAGATTAAAGAGACTTACAGGACAAATCAAATGTTTTTTAAAAAGTATTGTCCATATCTTTAGTACATTTAGTGTAGGGATAGTACACTTAGATGATGAAACTTTGAAGGAGATAATTGCAATACACATAAGGGTAGTAATTACTCATGGCAGAAGAAAGAGATGAAGATGGGAAGGCCCATAGAGGAAATTCTGGGGTAGCTGGCAAAGTTCTATTTCCTGACCTGGGAGGTGAATAAAGGTGTTTGCCTAATAATCACTTATGATGACTTATGAAACTATACACGTGTGTAGTTTCTTTATATGTATCTTATTTCACAATAAAAAGATTTAAACAGTTTGGAGGTTGGAAAGGGGGAGAAACTCAGGCTAAGATAAATTAATTACCCAAAATTATAGACATAGAAAATAACAATGCAAAGATCTGAACTCCTGTCTTATGTTAAAACACAAGCTGTTTCTATAATACCACTATACTTTTTGTTGTAGACAGCACAGATTTTGCTTCTATAGGGGAATTCACTGTCCATGTGTTTTTATTGCAAAAGAATCCCCAATTCTGATGCTTTTTAAAAAAGACAATCTAGCCGGGCACGGTAGTGCATGCCTGTAATCTCAGCAGCTTGGGAGGCTGAGATAGGAGGATCACAAGTTCAAAGACAGCCTCAACAAAAACTGAGGCGCTAAGCAACTCAGTGAGACCCTGTCTCTAAATAAAATACAAAATAAGGCTGGGTATGTGGCTCAGTGGTCGAGTGCCCCTGGGTTCAATCCCTAGTACCAAAAAAAAAAAAAAAAAAGAAAGAAAGAAAAAAAGACAATCTAAGTAAAAATAATGCCAGGAAGTTTTGTTGGTTTGTTTGTTTCTATCATATATTACTGCAGCCTGTCAGTTGATTGCTATGAGCATGATCAACCACTGGATGTCAGGATTCCTCCAGATATCTGTAAGGCAGGATGTTAGGGGAAAAAGTAAAATCGTAGTTTTTGTAAAAATGTGAATTTTTTCTGCCTATTTTGGTAACAATAATTTTGTCTCAGCAATTTTTGGAAAATGTGTTGATTTCTAAAAGAGATTATCTCAATGTTCATAGTCTCAAATGAAAGAGAAATGTGATCACTTTTATTATTTTATTGAATGATAGTTAACATTTATTGAATGGTTACAATGTGCCAAGCACTTATTTCATACTTTATATGAACTAAATTATTTAATTTTCAAACTACCCTAGGAGGTAGGTCCCATTGTTATCTGCATTTCATAGATGAAAATACTAAAATCACAGAGGTTAATTGATGCACCCAAGGTCATTTAACACAAAGTGGCAGAATCAGGATTTTAAGCCAAGTCAGCTGAATCCAGAAGCCACACCTATGTCTGCGTGCTTTGTGGCCCCTGTACTAGTTCATGTTGCTGGTGTGACGTATCAGTATTGTTGTAATAACTTAGATTAAAGCAAGAATTGAAAATAAAGGCTTATGTAAGATAGATGAAGAATGTTAGTATATTTTTCATGAAAATATAAAGTGTTTGGGTATCAGATCCTGGAAACAAATCTCACGTGGAATAATCAAGAATTATGCAATTATTCATATTAATGTTTCCTGGATAATTATTCATCAAATAGAGTGAAAGAGGGAGGGAGGAAGGAAGAAAAATATCTCTATAATATTCAGTTCTAAAGAAGAAATAAACAGATGTAAGCATTTGCTTTCTCAAATTCATTCATTTATTTGATAAATTCTAGTTGAACATCTATTATGAGTTAGACTCTGTTCCTACAGATACAAAATAAATCCCTGCCTTCATGGAGCTTACATTGTAGAATAAAATAGAATGTAAGTGGTCTAGAATACTTAATTTCAATGAAAATCACCAGTTGCTAAAGTGTACATCTCTGTTTTTCATTCATGTTAGTCTGAAAAAAATCTGTATTTTATAGGTCAATCCACTAGTGTTGTTTTAAATTTTTGCTTATTTCCCCCATTCATTTTAGAGAATCCTTGTTCATTGAAGCATTTGTGCCGATTAAAAATTCGAAGACTTATGGGACTCCAGCGACTCTGCCAGCCAGCCTCCATGGAAAAACTTCCACTACCACCAGCTATTCAAAGATACTTATTATTTAAAGAGTATGATCTCTATGGACGGGAGCTAAAATTGCCATAGCTTAAAAATAACATTTTTAAATGTGATTTTTAAATATTTTAAAATGTGATTCCCCCAGAGAATTTATTGGGATCATTTTACAACTTTAAGTGTATTTAAATCCACTGAGAATGTTATAGGTGTACTGTGTCCCTATGGGAACACCATATGGTACATAAAGACCTTGCCTTATCTTAAGACAGTCAGTATTCTATATTTGAATTTCTAATGATTGTCTTCACTTGCAACAAGTCTTTAAATTCTCCCTATCAATTGGCTCCTACAATATGCACTATCAAGGGTCTGTGTTTAAAAAGCAAATAACCACTTTCTCAAACCCATTCCTCCCATCTGTTGCTGGCCCATTTCTCTTCTCTGAGAGTCTCTCTGTATGAAAGGACTCCTGCCTGCCTACAGGTTCACACACTATAATCTGGCACTCTGCTTTCTCTCCTGCTCTTCTCAAGGTCCTTCACCACCTCCTTATTGCTGAAGTCAATGAGCACCTTTCAGTCCCTTTTTTGGTTGATTCCTGTGCCATCTTACACTGTTGCCTGCTGTTTCCTTGAAGTTCTACCTCCTCCCTGGTTTTCACTTTATGGATACCTTGTTCTCTAAGCTGTCCTTCTACCTCTTTGGATGCTCTATCTCTGGCTTCTTCCTATGACTCTCAATTCCTGCCAATCCTTTAGTAATATTTTCTCTAGAAAATTTCATCCATTTGTATGATTGCAATAATTTTGTTGGAAACTACAGCACTTACATCCAAAAAAAGCTTTCTCTCATGTGCCTGAGACCTGTGTAGGCAACTAGCCCAATGAACATTTGAGCCTAAAGACACCTCAAATTCAACATGTCCCCAGTTAAACTCATGACCTTTCTCTTACATTTTATAATGTAACAGCACAATGATTAACTTAGTTTTCAACAGAAAAAGACTAAACCTCAGGCTTGACCTCCTCGTTTCCTCACCCAGTGTAACCGATCACCACATCCTAAAAAAATGTATTGCTTGAAGTGATCTTTCTTTTACTCAGTTCCACCAGCTTGGCGCTAAGCCTGGCTCTGATCCTTTTCCTAGGATAATTCAGTGCTGCTTCTCTAGCTTGCCTGCTGGCTGTCTTCCCCTATCCCACACACATTCTGCACACAACATCCCAGAATGATCTTTTATAAATGCAAGAAGTTTCACTGCCTTGCTTAAAACCATTCCCATTGTTCATAGAATAAAAGTCCAAAGTTCTTATGTGGCCCTTCACTATCTCACTCCTACTGCCTTCCTCTTTATGTCTCACTTTCCTCTCTCCCCTATAACTGTATTATATGCTTTCTAGAAGTTTATTCATTGAACAGTGAGTGATTCCCAGACTTCAGGGTTATATATGCTAATAGATTTGTTTCATTAATTTAAAAAAATAGAGTCATCTATCTTTAAAAAAAAAAAAAATATATATATATATATATACACACACACACACACACACACACACACACACACCCTTTATGATCTCCATCATTTCATAAAGAGAGCATATATATTTTGGGATGACAGAAAATAAGATATCATAAATTCAGTCATAAAAATTGAGTGACTTTAGCTTTGAAAGAACTTATTGCATTGTCCTCGTTTCCCTGTTGATGGGTGAAAATTTCCCTGTGGCCCAGCAAGTATCTGAGGATGTTTGTTTGGGAATCACTGCTATAGAATAGACTATGCTCTCTCACACCTAGAGGTCTTGGTATTTCCTTCTCCCTCCACCTGGAACTCTTTCTCTACCTCCTTCTGGCCCTCTTCACCTGACTGACTGACTCACCCTCACCCTGCAGATCTCAGGTGAGGTGTTACTTCCTGGAGGAGGGGAGGCTCTGGCCCTAAACTTCTCAGTCTGTACTGTAGGAGCCTCTGTTCTTGCCTGTCTTTCCCACTAGATTGGAAGCTCTGTGAGGGGCGCCTCTATATCATTGTGTTTCCCAGTGTGTCCTCAGGGTCAAATACATTCTCTAAAAATGTGAATGTTATATAAGACCCGGACAAAATAATCAGTGACCTCATGGTAAAATGATAGTTTTGAATTTCTGAATTGATTGCACAATCTTAGTAATATTTTAAATTTATTATTCTTTGATTTTGAAAATGTATTTTCTTATGTTTATTTTTACCTTGAATGACTATATTCTTTCAATTGTAGCACCTCATTGATTTGTAAAATTTTCACATTGCATTTAGCTTATCTTTAAAGATAAATGAGTATTTTAAAATGCTGTATAATTAGGCCTATAGTTTTATCTTGTATTTCCTAGAGGACATATTTTTATAGAAATTAAACTTCATGTATTTAATTTGAACTGTAATGTTTTGTGCACAAGATTGCATAATTTCTTTGTTGTTTTCTTATTTGTGGTTAAAATGCTTTGTTGTCTACAAATATTTCTCTAATAAAATATAATAATGAGGTAGTAAGTCTGCTATATGATACTTCAGATATTAAACTAGTACACTTAAACCTTGACATTTTCTCTAATGTATTTTTAGGTAAATATATTTGAGAAATGTTTTGATATAAAGATGTGAATTAACTGCACATGCTATAAGTTATCAAAGTGGTTATTTTGCTATTTATGAAGCAGGAGGAAAATGTAGATTAAGAAACTGAGGTAATTGTTGTATTCAGAACAGATTGATCTTTTGCTCATCACATTTTGGACTTTTCTAGCAGTGTTTTTGTTTTGGAGAGAACTGGATGGAAAAAGTAATTAATCCCTATCTAATTAGGACTCTGTTTCTCCTAGAGTGTGTGTGTCACTTTATCTGGGAGAGGGCAACAGCTGCTCCTCCCAGTCAGCACTAGGAGAGCCAAACATTCAACAGTGGTGCCAGTTCAGCCACTGTGGCCTGACACGGTGGAGCCTGGAGGCTGTTGAGCCCTCAGTGGCTGCTTATAGTCACTGCAGAGCTTTTGCTTTGTGTCATCCAGAGAGCTGGATGGAAAAGAGCAGATCTGAACTCTCAGTTGGATGTTATTTAGCTCTCCTGTAGACCAAAATCAAAGAATATATCCATTTCTGGGTAAAAAAAAAAAAAAAAATTGAAAGATTGAAGTTGAGTGCCTCCTGAAGAATATAGTTCAATCATTTTAAGTAATTACAGAACACATTTCCAGGCAATAGAATGACACTGCAGAATATGGCAACTGTATAATTGGGCAGCCTGGAAACCACAAGATGGATTCTCATGATGTAGAGTATGCACTTAAGCCTTTTTGCTGACACTGACAACAAAATTTTTATCCAAATTAGTATTGAAATTTTGGTTCCAAGTCATATTTCCTCTACATATATAACTACCTTCCAAATCTGAAATTATTTAGGACATATAAAAATTCAAAGATATTCCAAATTATGTATTAACCAAATTAATCTTATGTATGTACACATATATATACACTTATGCATAAGTACATGTGCTTGACCTACATATTTAATATAGTACACACATATGTATATACATGCTTTGTAGTATGTCATGTTATTTCAGTGTCATATAATGCAGTAGGCAAGGACATGTACTTTGTTTTCAAAGACATTATGTTAAGTGAAATGAGTCATAGAAAGACAAATACCACATGATCTCACTTATATGTGGGATCTAAAAAAAGCAAATTCCAAAGCAGAAAGTACAATAGTGGTTACCAAGGATTGGGAGGTAGGGGAGAAATGGGAAGATATTGATCAAAAGTATACCAAGTATCAGTTAGACAGGAAGAATAAGCATTAGATATCTATAACAGATTGGCTATAGTTAATAACAATGCACTGCATGTTTGAAAAATCACTAAAAATATATTTTTATATGTTCTCACCATTAAAAATGATAAATATGGGAGTTAATGCATGTTTATTACCCATTCCACAAAAATTTATACATATTTCAAAATAGGTTGTGCATCATAAAGTTATACATTTCTGTCAATTAAAAAACATAAAAAATGCAAAAGATACTGATTACCTTAAATATCATAAGTGAAGCATCCAAATAAATCTTATTAAAATACAGTTTAAACCATTTCTTAACATTTAAAAAAATACAGTTTGAACCAAGCTCTGCAAATTATAATTTTTTTTATTCTGAACAAGATACAAATTTATGATGCATTATGTCCTACACCGAATAAGTGCATGTGAAACCCAACCTTTCATTATTATTATTACACAGTGGCAGTGGAAGTGGCAGAGCTGCAAAAGTCAGCATCCTTGGTCTTTTTTTTTTTTTTTTTGGTTCCAGGTATTTAACCCAGATGTGCTTAACCACTGAGCCACACCCCCAGCTCTTTTATATTTTATTAACAGACAGGTCCTCACTAAGTTGCTGACGCTGGCTTTGAACTTGTGATCTTCCTGTCTCAGGCTCCCGAATTGCTAAGATTATAGGTATGCACCACCAACAACAACCTTGGTCTTATAGTACAGGACCACAGGTGGTCATGATTAGATCTGAGAATATGAAAAATAATGTTAAGGATGCATTATAATAATGTTAAGGATGCAAATAATTTCACTATCATCTCAAAATTATTTGACAACATTCACAGGATGAAAACTCAGCAGAGAACTGTCCCTAGCACATAAAATCTCACATCTTCTTTTGCTTTGTAAAGTCCTGATCAACAACTATTTACTAGTGGAAAAGGGCTTCTCAGAGGAAAAGATGTGTAGAAAGAGTCAACTTATTTGACCTCAGTGACCATGTTATATAATATCAGGGAGTGCTAGAGATGTCTGGGGATTTGCTGTTTTCAAAAGGAGATAGTCTAGTAATTTGAATCTGGGCACTGGAGTGCCTGAGTTATAACGCTGGTCTAGCCAGTAATTCCACCAGAGGTCCTGGACAGGAATTCACATTCTGTGCTTCAGATTCCAGCAAATGGGGCAGCCATTGCTCTCAATCTCTAAGTCTTCCATACCCGGAACTGCCAGTGAGACTAAACTACAATTTCCTGGAAGCAACCTATAATGCTGGATGAGGTAGAAGGTTGGAGGG